CCCATCAAATTGCCGGTAGTGCTGGTTGCCCTGATCTCATCGCAGAATGTTGACCTATTTTGTTTGGTTATAAAAAGTACAGGTTTTTGAATCCAACTGTTGCTGTCAATTTTTGAACACCTACTATTGTTGACGTATTTATTTTGATATATAACCAAACAAAACTACATACTATTGCTGCGGGTCGTGTTTGACTTTGGTTTCCTTGGTTGGACGGGCAAAAAACGAGGCACGCTGCAATATGAGTATTTCGCTGTAATTGGATCTAGAAACTTCAAACGAAAGCAACTGAGGGCAAGGCGTGCATACCGTATGCCGTATGCTATTTGTTGTTCGAAAACATCTACATCACCAGGGAAAGCGATCGATTTGTCGTTGATGGGTTGCAATTAGACAGGACATGCAGTAACATGCAGATATAGTGGTTGATTTGTTGTGGGGGTTTGGCAAGGGTAACTTCCGCAGGCTAAAGAAAGGAACAGAACCATTACACAAACACACGCGCATATGTATACTTAATTATACATCATATATATATATATTACACACACACATATATATATATCAAGGTTGCAACTGGGTCTGTAAGATTTGAAGCCGGCCGCATCCAAGACTTAAAAGCATTGGCCCATCCGGGGCTTGAGACCCTTCCAGCGGTCTCGTCATGTCTAGGGCAACGCCTTCAGCAACGATGCGCAAGGGCCACAGTGCAGCTGGGCGCAGCACACGGTGAAGATGTTTGAAGTGGTTGGGAAGTGTTTACATATACGTTTTTTGTGGTTGGTAATTGTGATGATCTAAAGTTTTTGTTATTGAAGATGGGATATAGCGCTCTGGTAATGAGTGAGCAGCAGTGTGTTGCGGAAGATCTCAAGGAACTAATTTAGGTAAATCATCGAACTAAATGGGTTGTTTTAGCTTAGTCAGAGAACCAGAGGGTAAAGGCAATTGCAAATTCATTTGCTTTTGCGGTATGCACACGCGATTCTTGTTAGAATCCGGCCGGGTGCCAATGACTTGGATTTCTGCGGTTTGTCCTTTGGATGATTGTGGCACATCTTCATGTGCAATGTTGCTTTTGGTTCACTATGTTGATATGGCCCATGACATTCCATGACTCCATGACTGATTGTGTATAGGTGGGGGGGGTCATAACATAGAAACTGTGGGAAAACCACTGTTTGTTGTGATCTTTGTTGCATATTGTGGATGAAATTGCTGCCGCGACCTCACCGAAATGTCCACCAAGGTATTGGCAGTTGTTGCCTTTTTAAAACATAATCGCGCCATGGATGTGCTTCTGGAGTTCAAAGCCTGCGTAAATCTCAGAGAGCCTTGGGAATGTCTTGCACCGTTGGACATCGATTTTGTGGATGTGGGGTAGTTGTGGTTAGCTACTGACATCTACTAACTATTACCACAGCCATTAGTCCCCGCCCCAAATGGTAAACCCTAGAATAGATTGGCAGCGCAGGCGTAGTGGGGCCAAGACTGTGACCACAATTTGGAAATTGGACGGTCAAGCAAACATGACGCCATTGCCCATCCAAAAAAAAAATGGCATATCCCTCATGATCCACATGTGCAGATGACTGAGAATGACTCCCCTATTTAAGGAATTGAATGTTACACTTGTAGCCGCTCCCAATCCACCAGCCCCACCACCACCCAAATCCACCCAGGATCCGTTCAATCACATCTCTTTGCGTGACGCAGCAGCACCATGGCCTGGTTTTCGCCATGCCATTGCTGCGTGGGATGACCAAAACGATAGCATTCATACATTTGACTTGGCAGTGTAGAACTGAATGATGTTATTAATATCGAGGTTTGGTAGAAGTGAGTGATTGTCAGGCTAGCAGTGGCGAATTAGCAGCTTAAGAATTCTAGGTTGGCTTAAGCAGGACAAGGCCTCAGCTGGCGGCGTACAAGGCGACTATTCAGGAACCAGAGAAAAACAATGTCCTGAACATGTTCAGTGTCTTCAGAGCATTATGTCAATGTCCTTCCTTTCCGGGGTAAGGAATCCATTTCTAGAGGCGACAGATTCCTGAACGATGCATTCCCAGGCGGGCAACAATATGGAGGGGACGCTCATGTTATTGCAAGCGCGAGCAGATACTACTGTGATGGCCATGGGGTGCCTATCTCCACTGATGGCATTTGGGCAACCGGAAGTGTAGGGGATGGTCGTGGTGGAAGTCGAAAGGGGCAAAACTTGACTGGCTTTTGAGAAGCCAGAAGCCATGTTCAGTCAAAGAGCAAATGTTTGCTAGCAAAGTGTGAGTGCTTCACATCAGCATTTCTTGTATGTGAGGCTGCCACTTTGTGATGTCCTGATATGCGTTGTGTGTGTGTGTTTGTTTCTATGTATGTGAGTGAATATGCACATACGGTACATTTGAATATGTTTTTCTCTCTCTCTCTCTATATCTGCGATTTTAGGTAACAAATATCATACAACATGTTCTGCGTGTGCTATTCACATTTCATGTTGCACATCAGAATTACTTTGAAAGGACTGGAGTTGCTTAAATTAAAGTCCTAACATCATCAGAAACATTGCCTTCCTGCAGTTCTTCCGGTTTCAGACGTGGTGGACTCTTTCAACTGTTTCCATTCTCTTGTTGAGAAGACAACTCGAAGATAGGGTAGGGAGTCCTGAGGAGAAAAAAAATTCCTTGAGACATCTTGAGACCAAATTCTTTAGAGAATCACCAAATTGAATAGCCCTGATTAACATCCATTAACATCCATTAACATTCATTAACATCCATTGTTCAAGTGTTTTAACAGCTGATTGAATAGCCCTGGAACCGTTTCTTCCCAGTCCGGCAGCTCCACCCAGGTAGCTTGTGCTGAGGGCTCGGTGAATGTGGCGTTGCTTACCTGTGGTCATCGGTCACTGGCAGGATATGGAACTGTTTTAACGGGAAACGATAGAGGATACTCACTACAGATTCAATAGATTCAATAGGGATTTAGTAGGACTTAATGGGGGCGTCTATTGATTCCGTGGTAACTGTCCATAATTACGATTGAGAACAGGGCATGCTAGCTAATATGCAATAATTATGATGCACGGCAATGCTCATACAAGAATCGGGGTCGGTCTAAACGCGTTTAAACATTAAACCGTTCAAATTCGGTTTGTCACTTGATTTTTTGAACATATGTTGTTTTAACACTGCTTAAGCATATTTTATATATGGTTGAAACCGTTTAAGCCAAAACATGATAAAAATGACCCAATGCCACGACTGTAATCGAGATTATCCCACACGAAGCTTCCCTTGGATTGGTTTTGAGGACGGTTTTTGCCCTAGAAGTTCATTTCTCTCAATGTTCCGAACCCTTCCCAATTCAAATGCTGCAAAGCATGAAACACAGTACCGATATCTATGCTTTCAAGGGACACCTTAAGGACCCAGAACACACAGCCAAACATGTCGCCAAACAAGTAAAATTGTCTTGGGCCTAGCTGCGACCTGAAGGTGGAACACCAAACAGTAATGTCATGTCCACGCCGGATTAACCACTTTCGGAGCAGATGATTTAGTAGAGCATTCTTTTGAGTTTTCCCCCCAATGAATCTATTGAGACTCATGCAGAACAGGAGGTCGCCTCCAACTGATCAGGAAAGTCTTGGTGCCCTTTACGAACAAGGCCGATTTGACATTTGGTCTCCAATTGTCCTTGCCTCAGACTTGGTTTGCCGCGGGAAACCTGCTGGCTTGACAGAAGTATAAGTTTACAATGCCGTTGCTAGCAGATGCCAACCAAAAGTGCTTACAGTACTGTATTGTATGTACACAGATTAAAAAAAGCTACCTATCTACCTATCTATCTATCCTATCCTATCTTATCCTATTCTATCCTATCTACACTATCTATCTACAGTATGTATATATCTACAGCATCTATCTATCTACAGCATCTATCTATCTACATAAATGCATCTATCTATCTACATAAATGCATCTATCTATCTACATAAATGCATCTATCTATCTTCATAATTGTATCTATCTATCTACATAAACGTATCTATCTATCTACATAAACGTATCTATTTAATTCTATTTATCTACATTAATGTATCTATCTATCTACATAAATGTATCTATCTATCTATCTATCTATCTATCTCATTATCTCATCTATCTCATCTATCTCATCTATCTCATCTATCTCATCTATCTCATCTATCTCATCTATCTCATCTATCTCATCTATCTCATCTATCTCATCTATCTCATCTATCTCATCTATCTCATTTATCTCATCTATCTCATCTATCTCATCTATCTCATCTCATCTCATCTCATCTATCTCATCTATCTCATTTATCTCATCTATCTCATCTATCTCATCTATCTCATCTATCTCATCTATCTCATCTATCTCATCTATCTCATCTATCTCATCTGCCTCATCTGCCTCATCTATCTCATCTATCTCATCTATCTCATCTATCTCATCTATCTCATCTATCTCATCTATCTCATCTATCTCATCTATCTCATCTATCTCATCTATCTATCTATCTATCTATCTATCTATCTATCTATCTCATCTTTCTCATGCATCTCATCTATCTCATCTCATCTCATCTCATCTCATCTCATCTCATCTCATCTATCTATCTATCTATCTACCTACCTATCTATCTATCTATCTATCTAATCTATCTAATCTATCTAATCTATCTATCTACCTATCTACCTATCTATCTTTCTCATCTGCCTCATCTGTCTCATCTATCTCATCTATTTCATCTATCTCATCTATCTCATCTATCCAATCTATCTATATCATCTATCTATCTATCTATCTTTCTTTCTTTCTATCTGTCTATCTAGCTATCTATCTATCTATCTATCTATCTATCTATCGGTCTGTCTTTCTATCTATCTGTCTGTCTATCTATCTGTCTATCTGTCTGTCTATCTATCTATCTATCTATCTTGCTTTCTTTCTATCCATCCATCTATTTATCTATCGATCTATCTGCCTGTCTATCTAAATCTTAGCTAATCTAATCTAATCTTATCCTTTATTTGCTATCTTATATATCCTTTTTTTCCTATCCTATCTATCCTACCCTATCCTATCTGTTTCTTTCATGTACATCCATTTATCTATCTATCTGTTTTTTCTTACTATCTAGCAGTCCAATTGAGGTAATCATTCTAACTGATCTATTCAATCTAATCTAACGATATAATCTATCTAATCTATTCTAACCTATTTAATTTTATCTAATCTTATCTAATCTAAAATCTAATCCAAGATCAAATCCAAGATCAAATCTAAGATTTAATTGAAGATCTAATCTAAGATCCAATCTAAAATCCAATCTAAGATCTAATCTAAGGTCTAATCTAGATAGATAGATAGATAGGTAGATAGATAGATAGATAGATAGATTAGATAGATTAGATAGATTAGATAGATTAGATAGATTAGATAGATTAGATAGATTAGATAGATTAGATAGATTAGATAGATTAGATAGATTAGATTAGATTAGATTAGATAGATTGATTGATTGGTAGATCGATAGATTGATAGATTGATAAAATGATGGATAGATAGATTGATGGATAGATGGGTAGATGGATAGATGGATAGATGGATAGATGGGTAGATGGGTAGATGGATCGATGGATAGATGGATAGATGGATAGATGGATAGATGGATACATGGATAGATGGATAGATTCATGGATAGATGGATAGATGGATAGATGGATAGATGGATAGGTGGATAGGTGGGTAGATGGATAGATGGATAGATGGATTGATGGATAGGTGGATAGGTGGATAGATGGATAGATGGATAGATGGATAGATGGATGGATGGATGGGTGGATAGATAGATAGATAGATAGATATCACAGCAGGCTTTTGGTGACATTGTTTGTTTTTTTTTCTTGGGACTTTACGTGATCGTAGTCGTGTTTCATCGATGTTTGACTGCCTCTTCCAGATGTGATTTAACGTATTTACCGAAATGATTTTATAGCTTCCAGCCCCTGTAGTGACTATGAATTAAGGTGCTCCTGTTTCAGTGGTTCTGCGGAACTCACACTGCTGCTGATTGAAGCCGGGGCTAATGTGCCACCTGGCTGCAAAGGGGCTGCCAAATGGCAGACACATGTCACATATTAGATAAGATAGTCACCCATGTGAGTTAGAGACCATGTGCCACAATACTACAGGTGATTGAAGTTTCGCACCATCGGCCGGACAGTGTCGTCATTTATATACACAACATCACAGAGAGATCTACACACAGAGATATATGATATAGCTACAAACTATAGCAGGTTACAGCCTGTTAAAGTGCATCATGGAGTGCAGCTGCTAGGAGTAGCAGCCATCCCTGCCAAGGGATGAGCCTTTTCGTCCCACCTGGGCTCTTTGGTTTCTGCTGCAGATCTCCAAACTCCATCACCGGAGGCACCAGTTAAAATGGGTCGTTTCCCGCTTCCATGGCTGTTCAGGCAGGGTATGTACATGGGCTAGATCAGACCCTGCAAGTAAGAGCTACACCGCTACAATGCCAATAATCCCATGTTCATGAATTCTGCATTTTTCAAACCTGCCAGCGTGCCGGGAGAATTATTTGCACACTCTTTGTGCGTGTGTGCAACATAGCTGTGCATGCATCCCCGCCCCCTTAACTGCCTGTTTTGATGGGGTTTCAACTTACAAACGAATGGAGGGGTCCCCCCGTCAAAAAAAAGTAAACTACATCTTTTGATCCCTTAACTTACATTTTTTTAGGGGGGACCCCCTAGTTTTTACATTTGCAACTTTGGGAAAATGTAACTTTGGATCTGTGACCCCCCTAGCGGTCACAGATTGTGTAAATTACATTTCTTGACCCCCGCCATCAGCTGGCAGGCACCCTTCCAGGCTAAGCATGCTGGCGCAGAACCACTCAGATGCCTGTCGTTTTTTCAGCTGTGGTTGGATGGTCATTCCAGGCGGTAATGGCCAGTGCATTTGTGCATTCTTATGATTCATATGTATTGTGTACCTGGGCATGTGTATGTTTAAAAAATCACCATGTTTTTGTACATGTATGACAAATGAGTAGGGATTTGCCCAATCTTGCTAGGTATGTTTGCTGACAAATTCCAGGTTGGGATGCTAAACCAACATCACCCAAGCCCATTCGAGGTCGAGGTCCCCAAAGAAACAGCTGGCAAAGCATAAATAAACCGAGAAGGATCTGTCATTTGTTCATTATCATGTTGGGTTGGTGTCAAAATTTTATACCTACCAACCCCTGCAGAAAGGTCAATATGTTTCTTGGCTTACTCGGAGAAAGGAAACAATGGTCTCAAACGTCCAGAGTCTTGAGGGAGACAAAATTCTATGATTTTTCAGCATTGAGGTGTTGGATTCCTGTGGATGTTGAAAATATATATGAAAATACAGAGACATGGTCTTCGGAAAAGTTAGATGTAATTCACCAATGAACTTCTGGCATTTTTTTGGAATTGTCCACAAGCAGAAGCACTCTTAAATGTTACGTGGGGATTTCCCATACTCCATGCCCAATGGCCATGGTTTCATTGGAAATCGTCGCCCTGAGGGTGCTACTCCGTTGATGTGCAGCATTTTAAGCGGCGCTTTTGAAGCAGCCACCACCCTCATTACTGCTGGAGCACGCAGCCTGACTTGGATAGTCACATGTGACCTGAGACCATGTTAAAAATTGTTAGGGCAATGTTGGCTACTTATATATATATACATAATTATATAATATATAATATAATATATATATATATACGTAATGTATATACAATATATATATATTATAATAAATAATCTATATATATATATATACGTATTGACTTTGAATTGTATCAGAGTGATTTTTAATGATTAATAATAATAATAATTAATAACAATAATAACAATAATAATAAATAATAATAATAATACTACTAATAATAATAATAATATATATATTGTGATTATCACACCCATAATATGTAATGTTTGTGTGTTCGCGTATGTGTTAACATATATGAATGTATACATATGGACAACACCAATGATTCAGCGACTGTTTGGGTTGATCCAGTTTGCTCTTGGCCACCGTGGTATCTGAGTATTTACTTTGCCTTTGCCAATCCCTGACTTTAGCCGACCGTAAAGAAATACAAAAAATCGTTGAAACATTTGTCTTGTGAGATCAAGTCTCTTCTCCTCTCACCACTCCTTAAGTACCTCCCCAAGGGGTGGACATTTGCAACTCCAAAAAGAAGACTGCAGTCGATTTGGCGCGGGAGGTCTTAGCTCCAGACTTCGTGCCGCTGGGCTGAGCACGAGTAGTGGCCCCTGGGTGTTGGATGTTGGTGATTTCAAATATGTTCAATTTTCAATAATGTATGCGACCCACTGGAAAGCCACCTTCATAGTGTACCCCAGTCTTAACAGGCTTGGTATATTGCTTACATTGGTTATGGATTATGGATGTTTATGGTGCCCGTGTCCATCATTTCGCTTGATTTGATGCTTGTAAAGATAGGCCCACAAGATGGCGAGGTAGGAATTGAGGAAGCATCCTCTCCAGTCAACTTGAAGTTTCTGTTGTTTTTATATGTTGCAGGCGAACAGGCGGTTTGGCTGAATCATGATGTAAGTGAATGATTGCCTGAGTTTACAGATGCCTTCTCAACGCTGGACCAAGCGATGCTGCTACAGGATGGACGCCCTTATCAAGCAGGAGCTGAAGCTGCCTTCTGGCAGATCCGTCGAATTCGCACGGCAACCTGCCAATTATACATATATATATACACATATATATATTATAATATTAGCCACAGCATGCTTCAGCATGCTTCAGCAACATGTCTATCTTTGTGGAATGCTGTTGGTTGAAGACGAAGTTCTGTTTTGTAAGTTCGCGGCCGAGACAAAATTTTGCTGTTTTGAGTCGAGGTTTGTGCTGGGGTTTCGTGAGTTTAATGAAGTCTTCTTGGTGTTAGGCCGTGTTGGGCGCAGGGGGGATGGGTAAGTAGCCAGGGCATGGGGTAGCTGTCGCTTGAAGATCTTGAGAGGTACTTTTGGGAAGCCTCGCAGCCATCGTCCTACTGTACATTCTGATTGCTACAGTCCATTGTCGCAGATTTCTGTGCCAGTTGCCCTTCCAAGCCAGTAGCATCCAGCAGCACTTGAACAGTACAAGGTCTCAGCGGCAATGAAAATGGCAAATGCGTTTGTCCAAAATGGAGGTTCCAGGTTGCCGGTTGTCCTATTTCTGGGCAAAGCCATCAAAATAAAATGCAAGAACTTGGAGGCAAATGGCGATGTGACATAATTCCGTGACATGCATAAGCAAGTCACGATTCATTGTCCTTACTGCTGCAGATGTTGCTGGGTGTCCTTTACAAATGGCATCAATCATGGGCCAGCAGATGGTGTCAACCATCATCAACTATCACATGATCATTTCAATTCGACATCGAAGCACCATTGGAGATGATTTGTTGGGCAGTCGCCACCTGGGGGAACTCCGAAAACACCAGCCCTTTTTTTTCCCAGGCCAAACAGCTTGCCGCGTTGAACCTCCCATGTTAAGAGACACCCATGCAGCTCAAGGTATTTGTTCTTCGAAATATTTCGAAATCGGTGCAAAACACAACTGGGTGCTGGTGGCTGATATAGCGTTTTTGCTTGTAACTTATCCTTGGTTTTCGTCCCCAGTTGGAAAACCACGGAAAACCAACCCCCTGCTGATTATATGATGGGTCCAAAATTGGTTGGAAGATGTTGAAAGCAACCGTTGACTGAAAACAACCACAAGGTTGTGTGAATGAGCGGTTGTGCTACAGTTGTGCGATGACCCGGGCGGCTTGATGGTGCTTTCTTCAGAAAATGCTGCTGTGCTGAGGATGCTCCGATGTCTCTGGATTGGGAAGGTCCATAGGAATTTACAGGTTTTCACCATGTTTTGCTTTGACACATCGAAATGTGGCAGACAAACTTGAGCTGGGGCTTTGAAGTTTCCTGACCTTTCTGACTTTCATTCCCATGCCGTTGGAAACAGTGTAATGCATCCTCAAGGGGGAAACGCCACGTTCACTTCACTTTAGTGTTTCTCCAAATGTTTCTCAGACATAATTTTAAATCCATGCCATCTAGTGACTATATATATATATACCAGCACCCTCTAAGTACCCACTATATATATATATATATATCATTAGTACCCACCATTAGTGGCTCTGGTATATATGTGCATATACAAATCCCCTATGGCTCCCGTGGATCTCCTTTGCTCAGACCCGGTGCTCCCGCGGACCGCGGGTCCCTCCGCCATGGCGTCGGGCCCCTCCGCGGCGGCGGCCGCGGGAGCCGCCGCCGCGGCGCTGTTGCAGCGGCAGCTGCTGTCACTGGGAGACATGGGGAGATGGTTGGGAAATCGTTGGGGAATAACATGTGAAACCATGGAAATTTTATGAGAATATTATGAAATATATGAAATATATGAAATATATGAAATATTATGAGGATATGATGGGGAAAGAGGCCATGAATCACCGATTTTCGGGTGTGAAGATGTGCCCGATTTTTAGACAAACCCGAAGAAGAAAAAATGTGGAATGTTTCTATAGAAGTGGTCCAGAAAATCTTGACTGGACATTGCTGAGTATGATTGACATACTTGCCAAAAGTATCATTTTGCTGATTATTTGTGGGTTACATGCTTTGGAAACCTTGAGAATAAAATAGTGAATCATGGAATCCATCAATTTGCTATTGCCTTCATCGACCTTGGGAACTATTTTGCTGCGAAGTCTGTCAGTGGCTGTTGGAAACCATTTCTCGAAAGCGCCTCGCGAAGTGCAACATGGCATTGTGCAGGCTGAAATAACATCAATTTCATAAAACTGCATCATACATGGAGGGTTTTCTGATGATCATCTCAGATATGAAATGCCGAACTTGAACAATCATGACCGAGATTATCATAGTTAAATTTTGTCGGTAGGATTCTCCCATTTACAACATGTGGTATAGCTGGTTTATGACAATGCGTAGCAGATTCTAATAAAGTGTATATAGGATTTTCCTCTTTGCTGCTGCGCGTTTCTGCTGAGGCAAGGAAGTGGAGAAGGATGGAGTGAACATCAAACCGGTGACGGCCGAAAGTTCTTCCACAATGAGGCACAGTTTGGTGGAACTCTAACCCTTCGTTGATATTTATATATATAACGGATAAATATGAGTAGATGTATCTATTAGTGTTAGATGGGATTATAAACCAACTGATAGCTGAGGGGGGAACCACCTTGTATGTGTCATATGTATCGAAGCTTTCTCTCCCTGTTTGTTTGTCTATCTCTCTCTCTCTCTATTTGCTCTCTCCTGTACGCAATGTATGTTGTCAAGATTTGTCAAGAGATGCAAATAGATCTTTGGACACAATAGTGTGGATAAGGTTCGGTGAGCCGGACTTTGTTGAGACAGTGTTTGCATGAAGTCAGCGCTTTGGACTCAATTTCAACCTGTTTCAGGAGACAGGCGTATCACAATGGGAGAAGCCAGACACCTTGATGTCTGAGAGCGAGAGGATTGTGAACTCTGCCGTGCCCTGCATTAATTAAGGATGATTCAAACGTTTTTTGCGGGGGGCATAGTTGGTCACATGATTGAGGTCCTCCAAGCTTCTGGTCATGTTCTCCTCTTCAGCCATCCACTTGTTGAGAGTTTGATGTTCATTGGAACTCCGTGCTGTCCCCAACTGGAGAGCGACAACCCAAGGATTGGAAGCAATACCGGTGCATTGCGGCCTGTTTTTGGCTGCGGCCCTCCATGACATTCAAAGCGACTATACAAACTAAAGCACACTGGTTACAGTACATTTTTTTGTGCAAACTAGTGTGTATGCATGGCGTGAAGCTGGTTTATTTTAAAGATTTGAAACGAAATACTCATTTGTTTAATGACTTCTCCCGTCGTCCTCTGTGTGCGACGAACAGATGCACCCACACACACACAGGCGCTGCAAGCGCCATTCTGGCGATTCTAGTCTGCATGACATGCCACTGGTGGACAAGGGGTGCCAGCATCAGCCAGGATTTGGGATGGCCGCATTTTCTACTACAACAAGGTGCCTGGCGCATCTATTGAGGTCATATTCCCATAGTCCCCCCGGGAAAAAAAGAACAGATTCCAATCACCGCCAGATCCAACGCAGGGTCTCAGTGTGCTTGGTATGTCTTGGGTTATTTCACTGGCTTCAGCTGAATTGGTGCCTTGCCACGGGCTGCATGATGACATCCCGATTGCACCAGGAGACCAAAGTGAGTTGCTGGAGCATGCCACCCGAATTGTCTGGGGTCCCAGTTCCGATGATGAGACTTAAGACCATTCAGAAAGGAATACAGGTGCCCCTGGGCAGTGAATTCGAGATGGGATAAAATCGTATGAAATGAGCCAAGCATTGGGGAATGTTCGGTACAGGAAAGCATGGCTTTATAAAGAGTCATTCAGTACGGACTTGTCTTGTAGTTTTTGCACGTAAAAACCTAGTCCTGGATGGTTCATTACCTTATTATACCACCATAGTTTCTTCTGTCACTTGTCCCGTCCTATCTCTCCTTTGTTTTCAACAAATGTTAAAAGCTATGTTAAACTACAATAGTTTAGTGAGTTTCACCCTAGGTTCCCCATGTTTCTCAACATGTCAGTGGACCTATTCCAGCTGGAGAACATGGTAATTCCCCAATATTATCCCCATATGTTCAAAATTAAAACTAGGCATGCATGAAATCACCATATTGTAAGAACTATATATATATATATATATGTCTATCATTTTCTATCTATTAACATGTTAGATTAATGGTTTGTCATGTTTTTCCCTCCCATGGTGAATCTCCGCATGCCGCCATTGCCACCTTCGCGCGCTCTTACCAAGGCGCAAGCTTCGGGGCGAAAGCACTGGCCTGGACGACCGGCCCCTGGCCGAGACCGGCGCAGAGCGACGGCACGCCTTTCAGGCGCTGTTTGTGGAGAGGTAGATGATAATATTATATAATATATATATATGTATATGTGTGTGTGTGTTATATGTAAATACAATTGTGAATCAGTAGCCATTTTGTTCACAATCAATACAATACACACATGTTTATGTATGTATGTATGTGTATATATATATAGTATATATATATATATACATCCATATATAGTCTAGTTGAACAATACATATGGTGAATGATAAGATGCAGATACTTGCGGATACCACGCCCTTTCCCAAATCCGCACAATGGGGAGCTTTCAAGTTACTAGGTCAAGATCCAATGAGACTTACTCAGAAACATGTACCAACATTTTTTTCAGGGTCAACCCTCTCCCACCCTCCAAGTCCAGCTGCTAGCAGGATTTCCTCAAGCAGAAAGGCGTCGATGTCCCTTGGTGATTTGTGCGATTGCATAGTGCTGCGGGTTCACGGTGGGCATGGCTTAAAACTGAAGCTCCAGCAGGGACATAGGTGGCTGGCAGCATATTTTCATTGTATACTGAATACTCCCATCCATTGTTAATCATATGTGTGTTTCATTTAAAGTTTTGGTCCACTAGCTTGAAAGGTATCAAAAGGTGCAACAGGAAACGAGGCAAACGATATAGCAAAATTCATCAGCGGAATGGTCACAATGAGCCTTAGTAGGACTGAAGCAATATCAAGCATCACCGCAAGAATCTGTTTGGTCATTGGTTGCATGCAAATGCTCATTGCTAAACTCCATTGCCCGTCTTTTTTTTGGGGTTGGGTAAGTACCAAGAAATGAATGGAACCCCCCTACAAAACCATTTTGAAAACCAGTGAATTCCTTGTGAATTCTTCAGAAAATATGTGAAATCATGATAATCATGACAAAGCCCCTCTGACATAATCTGACATAGCCATAAAATCTCCGAACTTTAGAAATCCCTTGGAAATCCATCCGAAATCCTTGGAAATCCAGGCCACCTGGGACTGGCGCCGAGTCCAAAGTCTCGCACGCGAGGCGCCACAGGCGCAAGGCTTGAGTGGCTTGGCGCCGCCGTGGTGGAGCCGTGGTGAAAGACGAACGATGGAAAGATCAAGAACCGGTGGGAAATTTTACGAAATTGTGATTGGGGTAGATGATTTAGTTTTATTTTTATAGCTGATTTTGAATGTTGATGCTGGATGATTTTGGATGACTTGAGACCATGTTCAGCGACAAAAATATGGATCATGTTACTGCGATAAAGCTAGAGGATGAAGCAGCAAGAATAGAGAAGATAAACCGACAATATGATATGGTTGCGATTTATTTCACAGCAAGCAAATGGTGCAGTTGTTCACGAAGAAAAGATGAACTCAACGAACAAAACAGGGAATGAACCACCAATCATGGGGTGGAAATCTATCGAGATGCAGATTTTATTTGTCTAATCAACAGAAATGAGGATTTGACAATCAAAGATGTAAGGGTGTAATGGGGATATTGGCCATATGGGGCACACTGTTAAATGTTTGTGTTGATGATTCGATGATCCCTGAGTGGCTGAACTTGGCAGTGATTCTTGAAACTGAGACAAATCTGAAATCTTTTTGGCGTGGGTTCAAGACAAAGTTTGCTGATTTACTGTACGCTTATTTGCGTTTGGTGCAAATTGACTGGACAGCAAGAGACGGCCTGGTATGTTGTTGTTGTTGTTGTTGGGAAACTCGATCTTACCTGCAGTAGAAGAACCCTAGAAGTTCATAAGTACTGGGTAAGGTTTTGTTCACATGTGGAAGCCTTTTCAATTCATGTTTTGCTTTTTCTCCTCCGAGGTGAACAAATTCAGAAGCAGGTCTTTGCGGCCCTCCGACAGAAAGTGTTTTTTTTGTTTTCCGACTGTTGATGTGTGACTGTCAACTGGTGAGTTGTTGCACTGTTGGAAGCTGCAAGGGATGCAAAAGATCTCGAAGATTTCGATTCTTGAGCTTGAAGTAAGCGGCTGAGGAAGTGCTCAGTATGGAGTTGCGGAAGAAAGAGATTCAGGTAGGGGTGGCGGGCCATGGCGGGCCAATGTGCAAAGCTGCGTGGACACTTCCCTTCAGCATCCTTCAGCGAGCCGCTGTGAGAGTTGGCCAATCAAAGCATATATATAATATAAGAGGCCGAACCTCACGTTTCAACAATTTTGCAGCTTGATAACCATCAATTCGCTTAAAACAGTCCATGCATGAAATAATATATAGATAGTCCATCATTTGATAAGCTAAAGATCTAAAGATATGCCAACTGCAATCAATTCCATAGATGTTCCATTCAAAAATATTCATCCATTCAGAGAACCGATAAAAATCATGTTCCAAAATCAATAGAGAATCTAGTAACACAGGCATAATATCAATAGATACTCCACATACAAATCCTTACAAAATCAATAGAACACATGTTGTGCAAATCCAACGAATCAGGAATTTTGTAATAGTAGTTCCTGTAGGATTTCAATCATTCATGGAATATCTATCTATCTATCTATCTATCTATCCATCCATCCATCCATCCATCCATCGATCGATCTATCTATCTATCTATCTATCTTTCTTTCTTATCTATCTATATATATATATACATATATATATATTATCAAACCTAACAGATATATATTTAAAAAAAAAAAAACAATATATTATTCAACTAACCTAGATATACCTCATTTTTTTCTGCTAGATATACCTAGCTATACCTAGATATGATATACTCCATATATATATAATTAATTATATATAAGTTTCCAAGTTGTCCCTTGAAAAAGTGACCTCGGATCCAGGTGCGCGCCAAGGCGCGCAACGCCGCCGTGGCCCTGGAGCGACTCTTGGAGGAGCGCTTCTCGGAGCCGGAGGCCTTAGGCGCGGCGGGTGGCTGCGGGGACTGGGTGAAATTCCCATGGAATTTCTTGGAAGACCCTGTGATTAACATGGATGAACCATTATATATATACTATATTTTATTTATATCTATGTATTTTTCATCATTTTGGGAATGACCTTGTGTTTTTTATGTTTTTTGGGGAGACTTGTTGGCCCTCGAATCTAGAATGTCATAGCGAGTCATCATTAATTGGAGGTTTTGAGCACTTAAAATGACGCTTGATCACCATGGCTTCGTCATTATTATATAGATATGAGGTAACTTGGCAGAAAAATCTAGGAGGCAGACGATTTGGAAGCACAAAATGAAGTTGAAGGATCTGGCGCTTTGTTTGAAAACTTGGGATGCCCCCTTTTTTTCCCCGTGGCTGATGCTATGAAGTGGAGCATCCCATTTGATTGTATCCTATGGCATCCGGGTATCCATCATCCTTGTAGACGGACCCGAATGCATGAGATGAACCAAGGTGAAGGCTTCAAGATCCCCCTCTGGCATGGCTTATATGGCTTCAGTTTGCCATGCCGTGTCGCGGTCTTGTAATCCCTGCCCCCTAATATTCCCCTCCCCGTCCTTGCCCATTAGTTCTGCACCTATGGTTATACCGACCATGACTGGCAGGCACCACCTACCAGGAAGCCGCCAACATCCTAGGAGATGAGGAGGCGCGTCCCAGCTAACTGGGCTACATGTACCTCCAACGTCGAACCCCAGCAAATCTGAAGGGTTTCAGCTTTAGTGGCATGGTATAGATCTGAAGGTTGAACATCAACTCTGAATCCATTGAAACCTTGATGCTTTCAGCTTGGATCCCCAGAATATTCCAGTTTATTTCACAGATGCCCAGGAAGTCTAGGAGTCACTAGACGGAGCTAACCAAACTCAACAACTAGAAAAAGGATGAAAAAGGCCTATAGGGTAGCCATGGGGAGCCGCAATGCGTCACACTTTGGGAATTTTTGACGTGCTGCGTCCAGGCTTGGATCCTGATCAAGTCTGATGTCAGAAGAGAAGAAGTCTTCCAGAACGTTCGGCGCTGAGTTTGAGTTTTTCAACGAAGGCTTGGGGGTGCAGTTCCACTATGTTCCACTATTAAGTGGGCTGCCATAGCCATAGTTGGAGTTATGGAGGTTATCACCATAGCCATAGCTACAGCCATTTATTTCACCCAAGCAGGTCATGGAACGCCTGGAAGACAAACATCAGAAAGCTCGGGCGGAGAAACGCACTGTGTGGGAGCACAGCATCCTTGGGATAAATGGCAAAAACAACAATGGACGACTGAGGGGTGCATGGAGTTCTATCATCATATGCCAGAGCGTGTCAGGAGTCATACAGTATGGTCATGTATAGTACAGCTGTGTATATGTTCACACTCATTAGCTCCATTGACTCATTCTGGTAGTTGGACTATGTGCATCGACACGTTTGTGGGTGGAAATGGCATGCTTTCCTGACGTGAGGTGCACATATTGCCGCCCCAAATTCTTCCCATAAGCAGGGCTGGGGTAAAATCCCCGGCTCCTCCAATTTCATTGAATTGTGATGATCTTCCTCATCTTAATGGCCATGTGGCCATTTGTGGCCATTTGTATAGCCCGGCCCGGTTTCGGACACAAATATGCGTTGAGACCCTACCAAATCCAACACCTTAAAGAAAGCACGGCTCTTGGCCCAGGAGCGCGTTGTTCGTTTGCAACGGCTCATGGCCACAGATCCAGATCTGAAACGGCCACGGACGCGGTGGAAGGAGAGCAGTGGATGTGTCCCCGAGTAGACTCAGTAGACCAAGGTCCAAATGGTCCAAGGGCCACAGTATGGCACAGTGGGTATGCCTGAACTTGTTGGTCATGACTACTCAGATGCTTTTATTGTGGTCATGACTACATGTGTATCTTGTCGATGAAGCCAGGTGCACTTAGGGCCTTAGGGCTGGCATATGGCATAGCTGCATAGCTCACCACACCGTTTGCCTGTGAGGACGCAGCAGCAGTGCTGGCTCGACGTGATGAATTGCAAGAGGAGGATCCACCTATCGAAGCTTTGAGAGTTTGGGTCTCCATGAGGGAACTGAGGCGTCTGGGATGTGGGATGAGTTCCAGGAGTTGTGGGATGGTTTCAAGAGGTGTTTCTCAAAAGAAATATCTTTAGATGGTCTTAGTTTAGCTGAAAGAGGAATTCATGCTTCTTGAATACGTGTCACACAGTTTTCTCCTGAAGCGGTGTGAAGGGATTTGACCAGAAGGTCTCAGTTGAACGGATTCGTGCGTTGTGGGTATTGTTTAAAAGATGGAGTTTAGTTGCCTGCAGCTGAATTTGGCTCGGCTAAACCACCAGCCTTTTGTCCATATATGTTTTATATTCTCACTTCTACTAGAAGATAAATTAACTGTTAAATCCATCCCCAATTGGTCTTGAAATAAAATAATTATTCCGATTAGTTTCCATTCATATCCCAGGTTTGTTGGCTAATCCCATCAGTGAGGGTGACCATGGACGCCAGGTTAGCGTCGACCAAGGAGGTCGATCTCAAGAGCAAAGTGCAGAGCGACTTCTATCGAGACGAGCGAAAACGTGTCTCGGACCGTGCTACAAAAATTTGTAGGAAGACGATGCAAGACGGTCAGCCGGTCCCAGTTCCATGGCTTTGGCTGGGCTGGAACTTGTCCATTCCATTGAGGTCGTGATGCTTTCGTCCTAGCCATGAAGGACGGGTTGGCAGCGATGGGACTTCGTTGGAGGGGTTTTTGGCAGTGATGTTCACTCGGGCAGCAGCTTTCACGCAGTCAAGATGAAGTGGAACCCGAGCTTAAATGAACCTTGAAGATTATCTATACCTAATATAAGTGATTACCATATCATGACTTATCATTATTTCCAAGCAAAAAACAGAGTTACCAGATAATACCAGTTGTCAGTGGGTTGGCCAAAGCCCCAGCAACTAATTTTGACATACTTTGACTGCAGCCCTACCATAGCCTATGTGTTTTTAATGGCGCCCGAACCCTGGTGGTCCCTGGAATCGACAGGAAGTCGCTGCTGCCGAGCGGCTGACCGTTGATAGCGTTTGGGCGCAAGTGGAGGAGAGTTACACTGGAGGTGGAACCTCCATGCAACACGTTGGCTGGGAACCTGGTGGGATTTTGTGTATGAAACATGATATATTCTTTAATGTCAAATCCAGCCATCCTCCATGATATGTTTGAAAGTGGTCAACAAGATGTAAACATGGTAAAATGCTCATTAAACTGGAATTGTAAGAAAGATCATGGGGATATACATGAATTTACCGTTGGTATAACAGGTATGACTAACGAATTATGATTTTTGGGTGTGTCCTGTTGAGTCTGAAAACTTGTATACCCTGCAAATTGATGGGGAAACTGATGATTAGTCAGTGGATTTAGGGATTTCCAAATTTCATACAAACCCGTGTGGGTTTAAGTATGTTTAACTAAATTCAACAAACAAGAAGCCACATTGCTTAAAGTATGTGTGTTTTAATAGTTATACCCAAAAAAGTCGGCGACATATGGGGTAAAACTCGCATGTGTCGGTGCAATGAATTGTCCTTCCAGGAGCAGCTCGGGCATGACCAACGTTTCATGGGGATGCGTGAGGGTGAGGGCGCCACTGCAATGGAGTGCCTTGAAGATTGGGGGACTGGGCTGATTCCTCAGGTAAATGTCGCAGAATTTGATGAAAGCAACATAGCCCCCCCCAATATAATATATACATATATATACATATTATATATATATATATACATGTGTGTATTTTTATTGATTTACTGGATAAAACCATTATTTCCTGCATGTTCCCTTGAACCAGTTTTATGATATGGCAGTCTCAGATTAAAACCCCCCTGGGCTAACAATCCATGTTCCTATCTCAGGAAACGTTCCACAAATGATACCTGGTGCCAGGTGAAACTTACATTGACCGGCAAGCAATGGGTCCATCAAGATCAAGCCAAAGCATGTCCAAGAAAAGGTATGCATAAAATGCTGTACAGGATTCCTTTAGGCGCCAAACATAACTCCTCATTTGCAGTCAGTGTGGTGAGTTTAGTTGGATTGGAACCATCCTATGATCCTATGTATGTAATTTCAATCCATTGCCCAATCCAACAGCATCTCCAATCCTGAGGCTTTTTGATGAGTTCATCGAGGAGCTGAGACTAAAGGGTCCAGAGGCAGGTGGCCCTTCGACCAAAACCACCCAAATTTGGCTTGTGGCTTCAACATGTTTGTTTCCTGCCAATCTGTTGGTCATTGGATTGATTTGTACAAGTAAACATGTAAAGGCCTCTGTGGGTATACAATCCAAATGACAATATGCAGCCGCTCCCTGTAAAGTTTACGGTTTGCCTTAAGCGGAGCCTTACTCAAACCTGTCATTTCTTTATAATTTGGTGTGTTTGGTGCATTGACGGCTCCAAGATATTGCCTTGGAGAGATCCAGTTGCACATGGCATATGTGGCTCTAAGCAAGGAGGCAGAATCTATCAGGCCTCCAGGTATACAGCAGCTTTACCCCCACACTTTCATGTCTAAACAACTTCAAGTAACTTAGGCTAAGAAGGACAAAAACAAATGCCAATATTTGCCAGCATTTCCAGGTACTTTCGGTTTGTTTGTTGATGTTTTGTTTCAACTATGATATAAGTTGCGCCATGTTGCGCCACATAAGTATTCGAATATAGTAAGCATCCCGCTTGGGACGCGGAGGCCTATGCTGGTGTTGAACCTGCTCCTCCACCACCAGTGGTGCAGGTGAAGGGTGGTATATTTAGGGTGCAAAAATCCAGTATAAATGGAGATTTTAATGGGACTATCATCTATGATCATCATATGAATTGCATTGAATTGCTACAAATAGAGCATTTTCCAGTTGGCCATGTTTGATTACCGGATGGTAGATCATTTGATTGCCTGCTAGTTTTTGATTCATGTCATCGTGATTGTCATGTTCTTTTGCGTCTATAGACTTATGGGCCAGCATGAAAAAGTTTTATTGATTATTGAATGCAGAAAGCTGGTTGCACTTGGGTGTTCTGTTTGAATCTTGCTTTTGGAGTTTGCTTCAGATGCAGGACATGTAAGAAAAATATGTACCAAACCAAACTACAATGTCAACCTCTTCACTTCTCCTTGTTCATGGCCTTATGCAGTTCAAGCTTCATCCGCTGGTCTGTGCTTGTGAAAACGCCTGTGCAAAATGGGCGCTTTCCTGTTCAAATCCACGTCGATAACGACCAATGGCGCATCTGTGCCTTGGAAATGACATATGCAAGTGCAGCGGCAGAAAGCACTGGAGGGACTGGGACACAACTTGAATATTGACATGAAGTCTGAAGTTTCAGCATTTCAGTGGCATTTCTCATGAGTATTCATCATTTGTCTAAGCTTGTCTGTGGTATCCTGCTGCCAAGCTATGGGAAAGTACAGTCTTGAAGCGCCCAGCCACCATCGCACTGAGGATTCTGAGGCTGTGAAGAGAGCACCCAAGGTGGGGTGGGTCATGGTGGTGCGGGCTGGAAGTATGAGGCGCAGCAGGCTTTTTGTCATGATATTCCAGTATATTCCACTGCTGCACGACCACATGTAATATAAGATTAATGTATGTTTATGTATGTGTGCGTTTCAGTTCTAAGCATTATTTGCATATCCCAAAACGTGCAGGTGGAGTTGCACGTGCACTTAGACGGCTCCTTCGACTCAGCGGTGCTCTTCCGCGCAGCCCAGAAGCACCTGGAGGACAAGACGGACGAGACGCACAAGACCAAGCTTGGAGATAGAGCGGGAGAGAGATCTGTGAAGTATCCATACTTTGAGTCCATTACTTTAAATGTATGCTTATGTTTTGTATATATATATAATCATCTATATAATTACACATTATACATATAATATAATAAGTTATATATAATATATATATATATTTCATGAATTTAGATTATTACCAATTAACATTAGATAGATATCCATGTTCGGGGCAAGTCCCCCTGACGGTTCACTGATAGTTTGCTTCAAAGTAGTTGGATCCATCGCCTCATCCACCAGTACCTTCCAGCTGTCGCATGGCTGGTTCCATGGCGCTTGTGCTAGGAGCTCCCAGAAAAGGTTCGCACGCCGTGGGATGGGAAGCTATTGGATGTGCAACAGGCGCTGATGGGGGAAGGATTGGGGGGTTAAGGGATTGGGCTGTTCACGCCAAACCTCAACCACCCTGATCCATGTGTGCCTGTTTTGTGGGTTGGACAGGGACGCGCGGACCTATCGTAGGTACATGGTAGCCACAAGCATGGGACATATGATATATGTAATTTTGCAGCACCCCTTTACCCAAGTTACTCCCATGTACCTAGGGTGTTGGGAGCAACCCTGTGAGAGGTGGGAAAAGACTATACAAATATCTCACCATCAGAGAAGTGGATGTTCGACACATGTCTTGAGAGTCTGGAGGTTGATGCACCAAAGGTGCAACATGTTCCAATCTTTCCACAAGCGAAGTTTTGACGCCGTTGGAAAGCGTCAGGCCATCCGAAATTGCAATGGAGATGTTGCGAAGTTCCACTCCCTGGTCACCGCCGCCCAGCTGCGGAATTCAGCTCAACAGCAGGTAATGAGTGGATGACCTTGAGACATTTGTCATGAATCAAGATGGATGGATAGACATAGTAGCCCCTATCTGGAGACTTGGAAACTACAGCATTGGAACTTGAATGTGTACCTCAGGTTGGTGATGATATTCTCGGCCTCTTCCCTATCCTCGATTGCTTCTACACTTTTTTGCCTATTGTCCGTGGCAGATTTGATGTTTTGGAGGTGGGCCGCACAGCACTGCTGGCTGCCTGGCTGGTCGTTTGCTGCACCAGGAGCTCTCCTATGAGTTTTGCCGTGGTCGGAAAGAGGAGAACATCATCTACACCGAGGCGAAGAGATGGGTACCCGGTAATTAGTGGACAAGACCCAGAATTTCCCATAAATACGACAAATTATTATGAAAAACATATTTCAAAAAAAACGGACGAATGTTATATATATATATAGAATGGGTATTTGTTTTCGAATGTGATTTTTGGAATGAGTGAACCAGCTTCTCGCTTCTGAACCTCGAAGGCTCGCGATGGAGAAAAGAGAGAGAGAGAGGGGTGTTGATTTCTCTTTTTTTCAGGTATGTAAAAAAATGGCTCACAGGAGCATTCCGATGGTTCTCCCATGGTGCCTTATCATGGCAACACCTGTGGCAAGGCTTTCGGTGTGATCAGTGATGTGCCAGCCGTCCTAGGTGCGGTATTCGCCCTTCGAGTTTTTGCCTCAAAACAACGAGGGCAAGGTGGCAGATGCAAGTCAAGCAGAAGAGGCTGTGAAGGCCGGGTGCTGGTGGTTTCCACCACTGGACGGGTGCAATGAAGCACGAAGCGTCACTTTAGATTTGTGTCACGGCAGTCCCCTGGGAAAAAGCAACTCAACGCAGAAATATGCACCTATACTATAGCCTATACTATCCTATAGTTCCCTTTCATCGTGTCAACACAACTGTTGTTTGGGCATGTTTGGACACTGTTTGTGCAGACCCGGTGCTTGAGGCTGTTTCAAGAGGCTTGGAGCGTGGGCAGAAGGACTTTGACGACACTAGCCTTTGCATTGGCAATATGTTGTCCCCCATTTTTCCGTTGCTGCAACACAGGTGGCTGTGTAGAATCTGGGAATCGCAACTTCAAACCCTCTCTAAACAGAACACGATGTTTTAAAGAAGATTTGCTCTACATAGCCCCATTGTGACCTGGGAAGCCGGGGGGGTGCTGATTTGAATTTTCTAAAACGGCCTAAAAAGGGAAACATTTGCACACAGCTCTCCCTGTGATCTCCCCCTGGGCTGGAGGTGAGATAGCTATCAGACACAGGTAGAGTGCTCATATGATTCATATGTGCTCATGATGATTTTCAACTTAGCTCATCACTGCATCCTGTTGGATATATATGTGTGTGGTCTTAGTAACTATACAAACATCCTGTGGTCTAAAAGTTTTTCTCGTGTCCATTCGAGATGATCCCAGGGCATCCCTTTGGTCATTTTGGCTGCGCAGCACAGCAAGCTCCCAGAAGTTCGACCACGCTGCAAGTTTTCTTAGAAAAACACTCCCAATATATATATCCCAATATACCATCTGGTAATTTAACATAGTCTTTCCATGGCTGAGTTAGTCATAGCCAGAGGATATATCCCAACAAAAATCCCAATCACTCCAGCACCGAAGAAATCGCTGGGTCGCCCAGGTAGTTGTACGTCAAATCCTCTGCTGCATCGCTGCTCAGCCCAGTTGGTCCCAGCTCACAGCGGAGCTAGCGGAGAAATATCGCACTGCAGGGGTGGTGGGCGCTTCGGCGCCCAGGGGCTGGTGGGCTGGGACCCCCCAAAAAAGATGGTTTGACAATGCTGCATCGCTGCCACTGATGGCATTAAAATAATTTCAAAAGATCGGGAAATCCCCGAGAAAGACATGATTTTTGAGGCAGAAAAGATGGATTTGGTTTCATGAACGCATCTGAGCCTCACTGATGTTTCTGTTCACATATCCAAACATATCCACACTTGGTTAGTTCAGTGCGATGACAAAAATCGAGTACGGTTCTGCGTTAATGAGTGATTGGCAGTTTAATAGACCATCCCTACTGGTAGTTTATCGTAATCTGTGGTCCCTCGGGTCCCTCAAACCTGACCGTAGACTCAGGTGTTGACATTGCTTCTGGAGAGATGCATTTCGAGGCGCGCGGTGGCGCTTGGTTACAAAAAGTTGGGATGAATGATGATTTGGAAATGGGTCAAAAACATTAAACACACATTGAAATTTAATTGTGATGCTATATTTGGAGTGGATGAAGAATGATGGACATCCATCAATCCCAGCTATTTCGATGTCACGAGGTTGCTGGCATTTTGACCCATAGCCATTTGAATCGGGCTGGCTCTATGGTTACTTGGACCTTCCACTTCGGAAGTGGTGAGTTAGCACCGTTACTTTACCCAGCTGTCCCCAGTTGCATATGGGATATGCCCAGTCATGTATATTTATGACACATAGTTACTTACATACATGTACAATGATATATGCGTATGAGGAACCAACAAAATTCTTGTACTAATTTAGTTTTGCTTCGCCTTGGCCTTTCTGAGGTTCCACAAAACCTTCATAAACGATAGGGGACGACCCTATACCGATACCCCATTTGTGATACCTCCGGGAGTACTGAAATCCTCACAACCAATAGGGGACGACCCTAATTTGTGCATGGCATTAAACTTAACAAATACTTTTGTCCGCTACTCATAACAATAATAGATGGACAATGATATGTAAATTTATGTGTATATATTATATGTATATGTATACACCACACATTTACATATACATGGATGGATAGGTATAGATGTAGATTACAGATACTATCTATATGGATGTTCCAGTTACTGACTTCACCAGATCATTTTGAGGGAAACCATGGGTTGAGCTGCTCAATATGAGGTTGGATTACTGGGATGTGGCTCCAGTGAGGCGACATTCCCTGACATTCCCATAGTCTTCCCATACCATTCGGGTTTCAAACAGAGTCCCATCATTTCAGGGTCGCTGAGGCACATATATCTATACATACAGTATAATGTATTTGTATATATATATATATATACATATATATATATACTGTACATATACATATATATATATACACTGTACATATATATATATATATATATGTATGCAGTATACTATGTATATAGACAGCAGTAGTTTCCACATGCTTCCACTCGATTTTCCCAAGACGCGAAGCCAGGAGCAGTCCATGAAGTCCAGTCATCAGCTGGCCATGCAACTGGCCCAGAAGGCGGAGCTGGGTATCACGGTGCACGCGGCCGAATCGGGGCCAGGCAGGAGATGCTACGGGGTGGATATGGGTTATATGGGTTACATGGGATATAGTACTGTAACCTTGCAAACATAAAGAGATCAGAAGTGTGGTAAACAAGTTCAATATTTTTTGGGATAGAATATTGTATTATATATATATGGAATGTAATGGACAGCCAATTCTCATCCTGTTCTAGGGTTTTATGAGGACAACACTTGGGGTTCTGTTACTGTTTGGGTTTACCATGTTCCGCAGTGCATTCACGGTTTAAGAAATTCCGGGGGATATTTCTTCTCACGGCAAAGAACCGGTGGCAATCGGCAGGCCAAAAAAAGTAGATGGGAACCCGGCTCCAGATATATCCCTCCAATTCATTCCGCAGTTGGCCACATGAGTTATTCTACCCTCTGGTGAACTAACATAGCAATGGAAAATCACCATTTTTAATGGGAAATTCCACTATAAATGGCCATGTTCAATTGCTATGTTAGTTCACCAGAGGGTATCAGCAATTGGTGTGTTTTCCATGGTATTCCATGAAGGTTCAGCTTTTGCCACACGTCTTCTTCCACCTGTCAGGTGACAATGTCGCACAGGCCATGAACATCTATGGCGCAACACGCATCGGACATGGCTATCGTTCCATTGGGACTGAGGCAGCGGGCAAGTGCTGCAGAATATCCGTGTGGGACAGCATGGGTCAAACAAGAGTTGGGCTACGTAGTAGGGCCACAGAATGTTTAGTATTTTTTCAGATATTCTGAGACTATTACATATATATATATATATATATTTATATATATATTTATATTTATATTTATAATAAAGTAAACCATGCCATGGTTGAGCCCCCCATTTGGGGCCATTGTTCCGGCGAGGCCTTAAGCTCCGCCAAAGCCAAGGGTGTCCATTTTGAGCTGTGCCCCACCAGTTCAGTCTCCACTGAAGCCATTGAGCTGCCCAGCAAAGACGGTGCCCTCAGCTCCTTGCTTGCAATTTAGCAAAGTTTGCTAGGATGTGGGATTTGGACAATGTTTGCATTTCTTTGGCACGGCAGTTTCTGAGTCTTTTGTGCGGAGTTTCTAATGTCCACTCTATGATCATTCCCCGCGAAGTCTGAGTGTGTGGGATTCCTGTTGGCATCCATGGCCATGGCTCATCCAGGTTGGGAGACGCATCCCATTCGCCGCTTTGTAGATGAAAAGATCTCCTGCTCCATCAACTCAGATGATCCCGTCACATGGCAGATGTTGCGGGTCACGGTTTTATCATCAACTGAGTTGATATCCTAAAAAAACAATAAACTGAGTTATCTTTCATCCTGAAAAGGGATGACATCCTACCTATTCGACTCATACATTTGTGCGGATGACGAGTTGAAACAACCATCAGAATAAATGCAGCCAGTTGGCTGAGAGATGTTGTACTGAGGATGCACTTCCAGTATCTTCCAGTTTTCACTGTGAGAGTTGATTGCCCAGAGGGGTCGTGACCCTCCACTTCCCCAGGCAATCTTCCGATGTACCCTAACCGATGAGCTGATGATTTGTAAGCAGCAGATGGGCATGAGCTGCTTGGATGGGAACTGGATGGAAATGAAAGTCATTGATATTGGGTTGGTGGAACATGGCACTTGGAACCCTGAAAGTCCTGAAACCCTGGGAATTCATCTGTGGCAATATATGTATGTTTTTAAGGATTTTTCATGGAGGTATTCCATTACAAAGTTTTAAAGATAGATGAGCGAAGGATGAAAAGGTTGCAGCAATGATGGCAAAGCTTGGATGGTGGATGTTCCATCTCAAGCAACAGTGGCTAGTTCTGATTAGTTCTGTACACTACTTGTACTGCAAGATGCGCTAAGTCTGTCTCTTCATGTTGAAACTGCACCCGGGTTCCCTGACTCGAGGCTCGGATGATCTTCATTGGTTGACCGTGCAGGCTCTTGACCATGCTTTCAACTTGGAGGACGACTTGAAGAAGTCTTTGAAGGCCAAAATCAACGACTTCTACCAGAAATAGTGGTTGAAGTCGCTGGGCAATGCTGGGCAGCATGATTTGGTCGCCTGAAAGGATGAAACAGGATGTAGAAAGGACGACCTGCATTCTCAAACCCTCCTTGGGATATCTTGGGATTCCCGCTTGAAGGCAAAGTGTGTCAACATGAGGATGTGCATAGCTGCCCTGTACTATTTTTCCATCTAGGTCTTCCAAGATTTCCAAGGGGTCATGTAACATCATGTAACCATATGTAACCCTCATTGTGCCATCCTGTCTTTCCCTAGGTGTGCTTTTTGATCGCGGGCACAGCAATTGCTCCCAAGGGGGGAGCCAGCTGGGCGCGGGTGAGTTGACTTGTCTCGCCACCGAGTTGAGGCGTTTTGCAGATGATCATTGGGGTTGTAGCAAGCCACATCATTAAACATTGTGGTTATTTGTGGTTGTTCACGGTGTTGAATCTCTTAGGTGCTTCATTATGTTCAAGCCACAACTCACAAGACAGCCAGCTGCATTCTGCAGTAATTTTGCCAAAGGTGATTGGATTGGAGCAAAGATGCGTAGACAGCACAGTACAGCTGGCAGCCGGCATGAGCTTTGCATAACAAATGCCAAAGGCATTCTCATGCTTGGCTTAGAGGGGAAAAGTGCGAGAGGGGTTGTGCGCAGTTTGGGTTGTGCGCAGAGGCTGACTGTTTTTTGTTTAAATAGATTCTAGATAATAGAGAGAGAGAGATGTCCGTATCTATCCCCAAAAACATCCACTCACGCATGTATTAAGATATGTTAAGATATATAATGATACACACACCTATATATACATATATATATATATACACATCATTATTTTACATATATATATATTGTTTTACATACACATATTATTTATATATATATATATATATATGTATATATCCCCCCAGATTTGCATACATTATTCTATGTATCGTCATAGCCAGGAACCCGCCCCGAAGCGGCGCCGCACCTCGCGTTTGTCGGACGATGTAGCGCACATGCCCGTGAAGCAGGAGCCGGGCGCCGAGGGACGGAACCAAAACCTGGATGTGTTTGAAAGTAGATGTAGATGGCTGATGGCTATGTATATACAATGGCTCCAAAGATATTTACATACCTACATATGTATATATGTACATATCTATATAAGATATATACAAAAGAAAATATGTATATATGAATCTATATAATGTCAACCCCGGATTAATCAACCATGGTTTATTAATTAGGGGGGTATTCCCCCAATAGTCATGATTTGATACTTAAATGCTATCTTCCCAATTAAATGGCCTAGGGGGTTATTAATCCAGGGTTGACATTATATATACATTATATTATATAATCTAACTTTAAAGATATAAGATACATACACACACACACAAATCCATACATCCATGCATCCATTCATCCACGCATCCATACATGCAGACATGCATACATGCTTGCATGCACGCACCGTACGCGCGACCCTGCAGGAGTTGCATCCAGCTGTGGGGCCCTTGGAGGTAACGGGGATACGATGCGAATGTAATGGGATATAACTGACCAGCAATAGATGCGAAATACAGTAAAGTGGAGGGCCCGCAGATAGAATTTGTAAATCATCTCTATATATATAATATATATATATATAAAGCATTTGAGGTAATTTTAGCAAGTTCCCTACTTTCAGACGAGGCAAGGGTGGTTTCACAGCCCTTTCCTGAGGTCAAGATGGAGAAGGAAGAAGATGAGGATGAAGCTTGTCAGCCCTTACTGCATCCCCAGTTGGTCGGGATAGTTGACCCTCAGTCTCGGAGCCAGTGCGAGGCATCATCAATATGTTACTGAATGTCACAAAGACATTCTTAGATTCTCAATGCTTCTCATAGATCACATCATATATTACTATAGTACTATATATATATATTACTATATACATCATATATTACTATATATATATATTACTAATGTTACCCTCTGGCAATCATGGCCAGCTGGGAAATCCCCTGAAGTTGGAGCTTTCAATGGGTCGGCCGCAGCTTTGGGATCCCAGCCATGGCGACGCGTTGGGTGCCATGGAAGGTCGCTGGGCCTAGAGCCCGTGGCAGACGCTGGGCATTGCTGCAGTTCTTGGGGCCACGGGGACACCACGGGATAGAATTCGTGGGAAAATCTGGGACAATTCTTGGGAAAATCGTGGAAAATGGGATGCAAGTGGGATATTGTATATACTGTTATATTACAATGCGATATAAATGGGTAAATGGGTAAATTGGTAACATTTTGGGCAGATGTTTCACCAGATATTATATTATGTAAGATTAACATGTCATTTGTTTGAACAGGTGCTTGAAATCAGATGTGACATGGTGACACCTTGTACCCAGCAAAGCCATGCTCAGCTATCACCACTCAGGGAGATTAACTACGGATGTGAATGCTTGGAAGATCAAATGCTTGTTTTATCTAGTTTTCCACCTTTGTTTAGGAGAATATATGACCCTATTTAGCTCATACATTTGGGATCGCTTGCGATGGTTGAAGCCATATTGTACGTAAGAAATGTATAAAAGCATAAACCTCAAACTTGGATGCTGTGGTCAATCCACATCTCATGTTCTAATCTCAAGCTTCAGAGCCATTTAAAAATATATATCTTTGATGTACGCGTGTTTCGTTTTGATTGTTTTTGTCTCTCATGGTCGTCGCTCCTATGTGGGTCAAACCTGCCAAGGAAGATCACCAGGTCTGCCATTTCTCGCACTGAGCCTGGTGCTTTTGCTGGGCACGCTGAGTCAAGCTGCCTTCCTCCCCGCCCCGAGAGCACCAGACGCCACGCCATGGACTCCTGGCACCGCCGACCCTTTAGAGTTGGATGTGGGACAGAACAGCACCTATAGTATTCCATAGTATTCCTATAGTGACCTAGGAATATCTTAGGAATATCTCAGACATTTACATTACATTTACAGTATATAATCATTGAAAGTGTCGAAAGTCATCGACTTGACATCATGAACCTCCTTGGATGATTTCCATCATTTTCCACCCATGTTTTCACCGATTTTCACCCCAGGAACCTGGCCGCGGGTGCGGGTGCCATTGCCACCGGCCTGGGCCTGGCGCAAGGCGTTGCGGCGCAGGAGGGCCTGGGCCTGGCGGATCAGGAGAGGAGTCGGAGCACCAGCTGGGCTTGTGATCGGGGGGGTCATCTTGAAGATAGATAGATATAATGTATATGTAATGTGTGTATAATGTATAGATTATATGGATATTTCTAGATATAGATATTCTTGAAACATCTTCGAACTACTTTGCTGTACATCTATGAACAGTACATGTTATTTCTGGATGGATCCGGAAAATAGCATTTGAGTATGTAAACAGTAATTACTATATATAAAATATTATATATATATGTGTGTGCGTGTGTCTGTGTACATATTATAAAGAGAGAGAGATATATATATACATATATTTGTGTTTGCGTGTATGTAACCATGAATGTATGTAAATATTTGTGTATGCCTCCGCATACATTTGCATACGCAGATAGCAATAGATGCACATATGCACGTGTGTTAGTTGTCATATAAGGTTACAAGTCAAGTCCCATGACAACATCCGTGGAAGTTGAACTTTAGGACCTGACGCCAGAGACCTTCCGGCCCGTTTGCCCGGCCAGCCACCCGGTGGAAACACGAACTGATGGTGCGGTGGGCCAAGGTAATGAGACATTCTTGGACCCCTGCCATCACTTGGGATATAAGTTTTATGAGGCCCACCGCAATTTGCTCAGAATATCCCAGAATCAACATGAACCAACTCTCTTTGAGTCTATTGCAGGGGTTCCCTCATTACTGAAGTAAAAGGCTCATAGTTATTCGTTGGGGACTCACCTCAAGAATTTCTCACATATTTCAACCATTTGGATCCGGATCTATATCTATCATGATATCCCTTGAATATTCATTCATTCATGTCGAGTCATACAGTATCTACATGTATCTACTGGATATATATATATATACATATCATAGGTCTAATATCCATTAATTGCCACATCAGGTGGTTTTGTTGCCGGATCATGCCGGTTTTCAGGTGATGGTCTCTATGGATTCGGAAAGGCTGCAGCCGATGGATTGCTGGGCTCGGAGGGTGCTGAGTATCGGCCCTTGGCCATCGAGGCGTTGTTGCGAGTGAGGCCATGGGACTTGGGCCTGAGCCGGGCCTTGGAATGGGAGGATGGGAGGATGGGAGGGCCCACTGGGCTTCCACTTCTTTGAATCTAACATGCAGCGATTGTATGCGATTGTAGGTGTAGTTATTCTATGTTATTCTTCCATATTCTTCTCTTTACCGTTGCCAAGCTGGCAAGATGTGTTGCATGGACGCTCTGAAGGAACCGTGGGAACCCAGACATGCAGCCACGCACCAATGATGGAACCTCAAATTATATAAGCTGAACGAATTTCACAAAATTCCGCCAACATGAAGTATAGTAGAATCTTAGTAGAACGTGAACAACAAAAAACGTGTATCATATTTGTTTCTTGGGCCCGCGCCCCTTGCCATGCTTTGTTCTTTTGACACCAGGCTGGAGGTTTGTGTCTTGGAGTCCTTCGTCTACGAGGCAGTGGTGCCCTTCGTTCAGCGGAAAGGTCTTGGATGGATCTTGCCGTTGCATGAGACTTGGCCATGGAGAACATCCCAGAAGTTGCTGCTCTCGACAGCTGTTCTACTTGCACATTAAAAATGTGAAAGAAAAAAGAACATGGAAATATTTGGTATCAAGCGAGGCTTCCATGCATGCGCAAGGTGCTTTAAACATCAGGAGTGGTACTTGGAAATAGCTGGAACCTTTTGAGGAACCAAGACTCAGCGCCATCGCCTCAGGAAACCATCGACACGGTCATCGCAGGCACAGTCTTCGCGATTGCGGTGAATTTCATCCTCTTTGGTACCACCAAAATCTTGTCGCTTTGATCAACTAGAACTTGGGAAGATGCACACATTTGGTTCAGTTTGTCTGAAAAAAAATTGAAAGCGGGGTATCCAAGCCCCAAACCCCAAACCCCCATGGTTTCTCTCGGTGTATCCCTAATTTCTCATCACAATTCCAATTCCATAAAAGGAGGGGCCCATCACCAATATCGTACATAAATAAGAAACAGGTCGCCAGACAGGTTGACAGATCTGAGATAAGATATTATATGATATACCCTCTGGTAATTTAACGTAGCTATTGAAAATCACCATTTTCAATGGTAAATCCACTTTAAATGGGCCATTTTCAATAGCTATGTTAGTTTACCAGAGGGTATGTATACTGTAATTCGATTGTATTTGGAAAGACTCCACCCCGTCCGCATGTCCGAAGTCCAAGGTCGGTGCTGGGCATCTACCACGACTTCCTGGTGGGTGCCCCATTGCGCCTGATCGGCTTCGCTATTTTACCCGAGCAAAAACCCAAAGCCACTGGGCCGATGCCAAACGCGTTCAGAACGATGCCGGGTTGGAGGGGTCGTGGAGCATAACCTGACAGATGCTTAATGCTTTACTGATCTTCACTGTATTGATGTTGGTGCCTTGAAATGGGATAAATGGGACACGCTTGCTGTATCGTTATCTTTTGGCTGGTCAGGAGATTGAAAAAAATCACAAAAATTCAACACGGACCAACGACTCAACATCCAGCAAGTGCTCCCTGTTCCATCAGAATCATCTAAGGAGACGCCTTTTATCCAGATCAACTGGCCGGGCACACCACAGGAGAAGGAAGAAGATGAGGAGGCGCACAAAGGTTTGTGGATATCTTGGTGGTTGACTCTCCCATTAGTTGGAACGTTTTTTTCCTGACTTTTTAGGAATTCGGTAGGTATGTTGAGCTGCTTCGGATATATATGCGTCAAACTGTTGGTGAATATATAAGTTGTATAAGTTTATAAGTAATAATTAATGATGAAATATGATGAACAAGGCTATAATTATAAACTGTTGCACGCTTGCTGGCTCCTTTGAGTCATATCTCTGCTCTTCCTGGAGAGGAAAAGGAGCCTCCGCCTCCTCCTGCGGCTCCTCTAGCGGTCTTTGGCCACTTAGCCTGCACCAGGCCATGAAGACTTGCTGATTCTAGGTCAAGTCATGCGGTCTGTCAATGATGTTGATTATTGATGTTACTGTAAAAAACATGTTATTTTATGTTAGAGATCTAACTGATACGGTGTTTTAGTCTTAGTCACATTGTAGATTCGACTGCTGCTCACTGGAGATGGGTCGCATATCATCATGTTTTAAGATGTTTTAAGGATTAAGTTTTTTTCTCCGCTGCAGCTTCATACGGGAGATGCCAGCAGTGGCATTAAGGCGGAGTTTGCAAGGGCTATGGCATCTTCGCAGGTGTGCTGAAAGATTTTCTGGAAGGTGTGGACACCTTTGCTGGAAGATACCTTGCCTTCTTTAGTGCCATGGCGAGCACTTGCACTTTATATCTTTATGACCACTGTCGAAAGCCATGAGTTGATGTGGATTTTTTCGAACATTGTAGAACCCAGGGCGACCATTGGCATGTGTTCCTTCACTATCACAAGACTCACATACTACTAGACACATTGCAAAGAAAGATTATGTGGAACGTCCTCTCAAGAACCTCCCTGCGGTGAGTTGTGAGATTTCTTCCCTGCAGCTGGATTTGACTTGGGCCGAGGTATCTTGTACATTGCCTTCAAGTGGGCTCATTTCAGACTCTTCAATGACTTTCCGCCATTTTAGGTAGATAGATTCAATTGATTTAATGCATTGCGAAGACTGCATTGCTGCGGTTACCATCGCAACAGGGGAAAATGCGCGTTCAGTTCAGGAAGCTCTGGTAAAATCGAGAGCCTTTTGATGTGTCCTATTGGATTCTTAGGAGCCCTAGAATTGTACAAAGATTGCTTGTGGATAATATTTACGGCTTGTGGTCAATACAGATTTCGACTGTTTGCAAGATTATGCAAGATTGGATTTGCAGTTTTGAGCATGTGTGAGTTTGTTTGTCCGACAATCTGTACGGCTGAAGCCCCGCACACTCTGACAGAGAAGGTCCTTTCTTTTAGCCATGAACTAACCATAACTAATCCAATCAACAGGCACAGTTACAAGAATGCCTGCCATATCCTGCCATTGAGCCATGATAACCCATGATAATCCCAATGCCCCACATATTTTTCAAACACAGCCTCCATGCCAGCTAAGGACACGAACGCCCTGGACGCCTTGATCGCCGCTGCGGGCGTGAACACGGGTGTGGGTCCGGTCAAAAGCGAGATCCAGAAAAAGACGCTGCAGCCGTGACTCGGAGATCGTGAAGTCGAGAGATGGGGATGGTACAGTATGGCAGTATGGGATGACGATGGATGATGGATGTTGGGGTGTAGTCTAGAGATGTCTGAGATGGGGATCCGATGATTCGTGCTATCAAATATAGAGGATGTTGCCATATTTTGCCATCTAGAAGTCGGAACATAGTAGGCATAGAACCGACCATTGGCTACGTCTACATGGTGGTTTCACATCGTTTTCAACCATAGAAATGGGATGATCGCCAATGACTTTTGCATATCTGTGAGATGGATGGCTCAACCATCAATCAGATTTGATCGGTTTAGTCGGTTAAGGTATATTATTGGGTTCCACTATTCATGGGGTTGTAGTAGGTTGAAATTCCAAAGACAAAGGTGACGTAAGGGGACTATGCATCGTCTATACATTACATACATATATATATATATACATATATATATATGTATGTATATACTGTATATTGAAATGCTGCTAACATAAATGCACGACTGCATGTTCAGCAAATGATTCTGCAGCAGGTTTTTACTTGATAATTAGCGCTAATTAAGACAGCAGGAAGCTTCACCACGATGGAAATCCCAGGTGATCAACACAGATTGATACTGTACGCATCTAGAAAGATAAACAAATCGTCATAACTACACATACAAAGACGTAAAGAATGATAGAAGGTACATATATAGATAGATAAATCACACAGATATCAACCAGATAAATCAAACAAATATCAACCAGATATTTTGTTCAGATAGATTTTCCATAAATTTCCCGAAACCAAACAGATCTCAGGTCCTCCAAGGCGCAGGCGGTGAAGGTGGAGCCGGTGAAGACCGAGCCAGTCAAGGCCCAGCCGTCGGGTCGTAGGGATCGATTTTGTATGGCTTAATGTAGATGAAAAATGATGAACATGGCTGGTGAATGGCTGGTGATATTTGATTTTGGATGATTTTGGCTGGAATATCTTGATGTTTTCTGATATTTTGATATGATTGACCTTGTTTATTTAATATTTGTTTATGCGATCTGAAGCCATTTGGGGCGATGAAGTGAACGGCGCACGATTACTTTTTTCAAACAGCATTGGTTATCTAGACATGTCTGGAACCTTCTGGAACTACGCAATGTCTACATTGATTTTGTAGCTTGGTTTCGAAATAAGTTGCAGAGGGGGCAGCTGTCTTGTTCGTTTAGAGAAAATGATCACCAGGCAGAGGAGGACGATGATACGGAGGAGGAAGACGATCCGCTGATGGGCTTCAAGCTTAGCATGTTTCGCTCGTTCCGGAAGTGAGTTGTGTACCTGCACCATCCTGCAACCTTGGGTAGTTCTTTGTTCCGGGCTCTTGCTAGAGCCCCGTTGAATGTTTACATGTGTGTATCGTATATATATATACATTGTTGCTCGTCACATTTCTTGAAGAAACCTGCAATCTTAACAGACTGCACAGTTTGATGGTCCCTTTCCCCATCGCCGTTGTCGAATTGGCCATCTCGTTCTGCTGGAAAGTTCTCTGAGGTAGCTGCATATATGATATATTTACACATGTAATTTATCAAATTTCAAAAGCAATGAAACCATGCCTCTCTATTGTGCTTGCTACGTGTGGTACGGGTGAGGGTACGGGTACGCCTTGGTACGGGTACGGCTGTTGGGTACGGGTGTTGGGTACGGGTGCGGGTGTTGGGTACGGGTGTTGGGTACGGGTACGAGTGCTGGGTACGGGTGTTGGGTACGGGTACGGGTGTTAGGTACGGGTACGGGTGTTGGGTACAGGTGTTGGGTACGGGTACAGGTACGGGTATGAGTGGTGGGTACGGGTGTTGGGTACGGGTACGGGTACGAGTGTTGGGTACGGGTACGGGTGTTGGGTACGGGTGTTAGGTACGGGTACGGGTGTTGGGTACAGGTGTTCCATGGGTACGGGTACAGGTACGGGTGAAGGTACGGGTATGAGTGGTGGGTACGGGTGTTGGGTACAGGTACGGGTACGAGTGTTGGGTACGGGTGTTAGCGGGTACGGGTACCGGTGTCGGGTACGGGTGTTAGGTATGGGTACGGGTGTTGGGTACCGGTACGGGTGGTGTGTACGGGTGTTGGGTACTATAGGGGTGGTGGGTATACTAAAAATTCGTGTCCAAGGTCCATGTTCTTGTCCAGCTCCTTGTCCATATGTGTGATGCTGCCGTACCTTACCAGCCACCCCTCAATCTCTGCCACCTGCCGCGCATCATTCGGCACTAAGTCACTAAGACCCCTAATGGAAGATATTTTCACTTCAGGCACTTAATGAAAATATTGGTACTTATTTGAGCTTATCATAGAACTTATTTTTACTTATTTTTTTGATACTTTCAAAGGCTCAGAACTGATAATACGAAGGATTTGTTTTTTACATATTGAAGAAAAAACGATTGACTATAAGAAAAAAAAGTAAAAAGATTTGGGGAGGTTTTCAAGTTTTTTTAGCATATATGATCCTTTTCAGGATATTTTCCCATTCAGGAACCATCCTTTTCAGGAACTATATCCTTTGCCTTGGGAGCCATGGCAAAGAAAGAAGCAGGGGTTCAGCAGAGACTAGCTGCTAAAGTATGGCTACGAGTCACATTATAGATTCTCTCATAGCTGCTTGTAATGATTGCGAAGTAAAATCTGTTGGAATAATGAAAAAAATAACCAAAAACATTTTTGAAACCCAAGATGTTGAAACAATAATTCCTGAAAAGGATGTATAGTTCCTGAAATGGAAAGTTTCTGCAATGAATCTTTCAGGTTGAATGTGGTTTCCTCAGAGGAATATGTTTTCCTTTTTTAAAATTCTAAATTTACTGAATTCTAAATTATCTAAATTTTGTAATTATTTGGATTTGTAAGTTATCTAAAGTTTCTGGATTCTATTGTTTTTTTTTGTATTTTCTGATTTTTCTGAATTCTGATTTTTCATTTTTTTCTAGATTCTATTTTTTAGCGGTTTTCAAAAATTTTCTGGATTCTATTTTCTTTTGGATTTTCAACAGTTTCTGAAGTCTATCTTTTTCTGCGTTTTCTGGATTCTGAATTTTTTGGAGTCTATTTTTTAAATTTATTTTTTACTTTATATATAAATTATCTGGATTCTAACTTTTGTGGATTTTCTAAATTTTCTGGATCTTTTTTTTTGAATTTTACGAATTTTCTGGATCCTTTTTTTTTTGGATTTTCTAAATTTTCTGGATTCTGAATTTTCTAATTGTTCTAGATTATATTGTTTTTCTGGTTTTTAAACGTTCTGGATTCTAATTTTTTTGGTTTTCAAAATTTTCTGGATTCTACTTTTTCAGGTTTTTCTGAATTTTCTGGATTTTTTTTTGGATTTTCTACTGTAAATTTTCTGGATTCTATGTTTTTTTTGTTTTTAAATTTTATGTTTTTTTTTCTGAATTCTGAATTTTCTGAATTTTATGAATTGTATTTATATATATATATATACATAACTCTGAATTTTCTGCATTTTCTGAACTTTCTGACTTTTCTGAATTTTATGATTTCTCAATTTTCTGAATTTTTTGAATGTTTAAATTTTTAAAAAAATATGGATGTTATTTTTTTTGCATTTTCTGGAGTTTTTTTTAGCTTTTCTGAATTTTCTGGATTCTTTTTCTTTTGCTTTTATAATTTTTCTGGATTTTATTTTTATTAGATTTTCTGAATTTTCTGGATTCTGAATTTTTCAATTTTTTCTAGCTTCTATTTTTTGTGGTTTTCTAATTTTCTGGATTCTATTTTTTTTTAATTTTCGGAATTTTCTGGGTTCTGAATTATCTAATTTTTCCAGATTCTATTTTGCTGTGGTTTTCTAAATTTTCTGAATTTTGAATTTTCTGAAGTGTCTGCATTTCTTTTAGATTTTCTGAATTTTCTGGATTCTATTTTTTTTTGCTTTTCTAAAGTTTCTGGATTCTATTTTTTTTGATTTTCTGAATCTTCTGGATTTGAATTTTCTAAATTTTCTGGATTCTATTTTTTTGGAATTTATGTTTTTTTGGATTCAGTCTTTTTTTTGATTTTCTGGTTTTTCTGAATTTTGACTTTTCTTAATTTTCTCAAGTTTGAGTTGCCCTTCTCAAGAACCCGAATTTTCAGAAACTCTCCTTTATTCAAGATAAATTGGCTTAAAGTGGGCTCTGTTTTGGGACCACTACGCGGCATTTACATTCAGGTATTTCCATCTCCTTTGCTGGGACTTTCCTTTATAGGAAGCATCCTTTACAGGAACTTTCCTTTACTGTAACTTTCTTTTACAGAAAACATGCTTTACAGGAACTTTCCTTTACTGTAGTGTTTTTTACAGGAAGCATCCTTGACAGGAACTATCCTTTACAGGAACTCTCTTTTACAGGAAACATCCTTTACAGGAACTTTCCTTTACTGTAGTTTTTTTACAGGAAACATCCTTTACAGGAACTGTCCTTTACAGGAACTTTCAGTTTCAGGAATTCTCCTTTATTGGCAATTTCCTTTTACAGGAACCATATTTTTGAGGTATCTATTTTTCCAACTATTCCTGGGCAGCAATCATTTTCACCTTAGATCATTTGGTGAGAGTAAGTTTGGAGCACCTTGTGCTTGCAAGAAACGTATGTCCAGATATTTTCAAATATTTTCACATATTTTCAGATATTTGACTAATATTCGACTATATGTGATTATATCTTCATTATTATGTCCTAAATTCAAAAAAATAAGTGGAACTTAACGCAAAATAATTTTAAAACAACAAAGCAGGATAATAGCAAATTATCAGATATTTATAAGCTCGTTAAGTGCCTGAAGTGAGAATATCTTCCATTAGGGATCTTAGAGCAGCAAACCCTAAATACCAACGGTCTATATAGCATATGGTCAGCAACTGCCACATTATGTCAGCAACTGCACCCTACCAACCAATGCACCGAGTGTACCATGCACTGTACCAACCGTACAAAACCGTAACAATCTAACCATGTGTACCGTACCAACCGTACCATGTGTACCGTACCGGACCGTACCATGTTTTAAGATAGGAGAAATGGTACCGTACCAAAATAGCAGCAGAAATAGCTATTTTGGTACGGTACCATTTTTCCTATCTTAAAACGTGGTACGGTACGGTACACATGGTACGGTTGGTACGGTACACATGGTACGGTTGGTACGGTTGGTACGGCACATTGGTACAGCCAGTCCAGTCGGTACAGTTCATTGGCACAATAAGTTTGAGAACCATACATGGGCGCGATGTGTGACACGTATTGTACCATGTGCCATATGCCGCTATAATATATCTGTACTGTACCGTACCGTACCATACATATGTACCATGACCTCATCCTGCGTGCCGTACCACGTACCGTACCATGTACCACGATAGTGCCACAATACTGCACCGTACTCTCACCCTGCGCGCCGTACCGCACCATATATACTAAGACCCCTAATGGAAGATATTTTCACTTCAGGCACTTAATGAAAATATTAGTACTTATTTGAGCTTATCATAGAACTTAGTTTTATTTCTTTTCACTTATTTTAACTTATTTTTTTGATACTTTCAAAGGCTCAGAACTGATAATACGAAGGATTTGTTTTTTACATATTGAAGAAAAAACGATTGACTATAAGAAAAAAAAGTAAAAAGATTTGGGGAGGTTTTCAAGTTTTTTTAGCATATATGATCCTTTTCAGGATATTTTCCCATTCAGGAACCATCCTTTTCAGGAACTATATCCTTTGCCTTGGGAGCCATGGCAAAGAAAGAAGCAGGGGTTCAGCAGAGACTGGCTGCTAAAGTATGGCTACGAGTCACATTATAGATTCTCTCATAGCTGCTTGTAATGATTGCGAAGTAAAATCTGTTGGAATAATGAAAAAAATAACCAAAAACATTTTTGAAACTCAAGATGTTGAAACAATAATTCCTGAAAAGGATGTATAGTTCCTGAAATGGAAAGTTTCTGCAATGAATCTTTCACGTGAATGTGGTTTCCTCAGAGGAATATGTTTTCCTTTTTTAAAATTCTAAATTTACTGAATTCTAAATTATCTAAATTTTGTAATTATTTGGATTTGTAAGTTATCTAAAGTTTCTGGATTCTATTGTTTTTTTTTTCGTATTTTCTGATTTTTCTGAATTCTGATTTTTCATTTTTTCTAGATTCTATTTTTTTAGCGGTTTTCAAAAATTTTCTGGATTCTATTTTCTTTTGGATTTTCAACAGTTTCTGAAGTCTATTT